GGCCGCAGCAGCGTCCCTCTGCCCAGGACAGGTCGCTCACACAGGTTGCTGGTAGCTGCCTGGGGGAGGGAGGGGTCCGAGGCTGCAAGGAGCGAGGGGCGCCCTGGCCCCTGCAAGTCCCTGCCTACGCCGACTGCAGGAGCGGGGCTGCTCCGCCCGGCGCCCCCCGGGTCCTAACGCCCGCGTTGTATCTGGGGCTAGCTGGAGGTGGCTGTGTTCTGTATCGCACCGCCACCCCCAGGCCAGCTGAAAGGTGCCGGGGGGCAGAGGGGTCAATTGCCCAGGGACTGGTGATTGAAGAGGGCTGGACGATGGTTTACAGACACACACACACCCCGCACCCCACTGGGGCACCACACCAAGTATGTTCCAGGATGGATCAACAACCGTGGCACTGAGCCGGTCTGTATGTAAGCGGGGGAATGATCGCGCTATTGTGGGGAACTTTCCTGGCAAACCAAAAAACTCCCACAGAGTTTTAGTAAGGGGTAACAGTCCCCTTACATGTACAAACCACTGGCCAGGCTTATGCCTCCCCTGAGCCTGTCTGCCTATGCATGGAGGCAGGGCAGGGAAGTGACACCTGCATGAGGGGCAGACACAGCCAGACCGGTGGGAAGCTGCCACACCCCACTCTCAGTGGGAAATGGCAGCTGCAGCGTCAGAGACCTTCCTCCCGCCTGAAACCAGGTCAGGGAGCCCCAAAAGCTCTAGCCAAGGCACAAAGCAAGCCTGGCTGCCATTGCAGGGCATTTCCCAGAGGGTCAAGCTCCTGCCAACCTGAGAAAAGTGGAGCCTTCCAGTCAGGGGGCCAAAAGGCCCTCCCCCAGAAACTCCATCGAGGGCAAGAAATCAGCTTGGCCAAGGCTCAGAATCCCTGCAGAGAAACTCAGTCACTTGAGGGCAACTGATTAGCAGTGCTCTGGTGTAGCTACAAGTCAGCGATTTACAAGCAATTGACATTATGTTCATATTCCTTTTACCTTAATGGTGAGGTCTTTGAATTAAAAAAATGGAAACAAACAACAAAACTAGAACTAACCAAAAAGATTGGTTTTTGTTTGCAACATTATTTGTTGAGACAGAAATATATGTACAATATTTATAACAGTGATCACCTAAAACTTTTTTTAAAAAATTGTATTGATAACATTATGATTATAGCCTAACCATGCTGTTAAAATAACGTGGTGCCATATATTTTTTAAAGAAACCATAGAACGGTGACGTTTGTTGCAACAAAATAAAAATAATAAAAAACAGTCGCATGACACATAACATAGAAACTCTAGGACATATTACAATTAAAAACACATGGGGCCAGAATTCTATTTATGACTATTCCAAATAAGAAAAACAAAAATAAACAAATAAAAAGGGTTAAACGTTTAAATGTTAATTCTTTATTTAAACATTTAATAAAAACTGATAAAAAATCATATTGATGCTTGCCAAATTTCTTGCATTAATTTAATAATGTTTGGCATTTCCATTTCTTCATATAAACTCGGTTTTAAAGCTCTGCTGTCTGGTACTATGAAAAGCCCCAGTTTCAAATACTAGTAAATTAGTGCTTAGGGTTAGAAGCAATGCAGGTTTTTCTGTTGCTTGTAACTCCAGCTGTTGCAATCCTGAGGGTTCAAATGATTGTTATTAAGTTACTAGATTTATTTAAAGAAGAGTTGTTACCTTGTTTTCTCTTTGTTCCTTGTTTCCTTCTGTTTTCAACTGTCTTAGCTTTTGGAGGTTTCTGTGAAAACTGCAACTTCCAACAATGTATCAAAGTGAGGACAACAAAGAGAGAGGGGAAGAAAGTGGGGGTGGGGAAGGGTGAGGAGCAGCCTAGGAATGTGGGAAGACTTGAGCGGAGAGAGATTAACTCTTAATGTAACATGCAGCAGCAGGAAATTCAGCAAACTGAGGAAGGCTCTACAGGGGAGCATCCCAGTATGTAAAAATACTAGTGCAGGAAGGGTATATTTGCAGCTATGAACAAGGAATGTAGTTCTGTAGGTCTTGCTAAGCAGTTGAGAACCTGCACCCTGGGGTGTTATCCTGGCTCTGAGGTGGGGGGGATAGTTACCTGCTCTTGTAAAACCTAAGTTTCCTCCCCCAGTGTCTCTGGCTTCTATCTCCATGCCCAGTGGATTGTGGGAGCAGGGCTTGGTCATTCAGATGTATGGTGCCCTACGCCGGGGGAGGTGTTGCCTTACAGGGAGGCTGCGCTGATAGATCTGGGGGCAGGAGCAGGGCAAGGAGGCGTAGATGCAGGAACAGGAGGAGTGGCTGCAGCACCCCCACATTTGCAGTTAACCTGGCTGTATCCCAAAGCAGTGCCTCAGTGTAGAGATACCCTCAATGATTTGGGCAGACCCATTGGAATAGAAGCTTGCCAGCAGGCACATGCCACCTTCTGCTGGGAGGCCCTGGGAAGGGCTAGTTTGCACAGGCTGCCCAAGGCCCTTCCCAGCATCAGGAAGAAAGAGCAGGGGTGGAGAAAGCCCCCAGAATTCCTGTTGCCTGGCAGGGGAGAGACACAGGACAAAGCTTTGCTGAGAAGTTTCACTCTCTGATGGAGCATCAGACCCGAGCTCAGCAATAGCAGCTCCTGGCCCTAACCAGGAGGCCAGCAGGTGGGTGACAGTCAGTGTTTCCTGCCCACACTGGGCTTGCTGGGCAAGGGAGGAGGCTGGTCCATTTTCTATTGCCCAGAGGGGACAGGAACAGAAAGCGACAGGAAGGAAATTGAGCCTAAGGCCACTCTTGTGAGTCTGTATCACACACACATGCACAACAGCCCTGTGCTCAGGCAGTGCTTGCTGTGACAGAAAGCGACCCCCCCACCCCCACCTTTTGCTCCATGTCACAGCCTGAGCCCAGCCACACGCACTGACACAAACTCCAACCCTGCTTCAGAGCCAGTCAGCGGCACCACAAGCACCGCACCAGGGAAACTCCAGAAGAACAAGCCTCCTCTGCTTCCATTTACCACATTGCAGCCCTCTCTGCATCTCCCCAGCCAGCCCTGCAGCTCCGCCAGGCAGCACCCTCTGCAGGTGGGAATTCTTTCCTAGCACCATGGGGCTGGGCTGCTCCCATACTGGCGGAACGCACTCACACAAAGCTTTACACAGCCCAGGACATGCCCAGGTACAGTAGGGTGCCCCTCACTCCTGACTCAGGGACCCCTGCTGTCCCAGCCCTGTGCCACCCCTCACTCTTGAGCTACATCCCCCTACTACTTTCCTGGATCCCTCCCAGCCCAACGGTGCCCCTCAGTCCCAACCTGCACCTACCTGCAGATGTGCCTGCTCACTTCCCTGCTCCACTTCCAACCCAGAGCCTGCTGCCAGCTTGGCCCTGTGGTGCCCCTCATTCATGCCCCACAGGGGCCAAGAGGCCCTGGCAGGAAAAACACTGACAGGAGGCTAACATGATGGCCTCCCAATCAGGCTGCTCTGCCAATTCTGTGTCCTCAGAAAGAGACAAGACTAAAGCAGGCAGGGACCCCACCTGAGGCTCAAGCCCAAACCCAGCCAGAGACTAAGAGCCTCACATTCCAGGTTATAGTAATAGAAATGTAGCCATGTTAGTCTGGGGTAGCTAAAGCAAAATACAGGACTATGTAGCACTTTAAAGACTAACAAGATGGTTTATTAGGTGAGGAGCTTTCGTGGGCCAGACCCACTTCCTCAGATCAAAAAGTGGAAGAAAATAGTCACAACCATATATACCAAAGGATACAATTAAAAAAATGAACACATATGAAAAGGACAAATCACATTTCAGAACAGGAGGGGGATGCGGGGGGGAGGGAGGGGAAAGGAAGGAAGTTAAGTGTCTGTGAATTAATTATATTAGAGGTGGGGAGAGTTAGATGTCTGTGAGCTAATGGTATTAGAGGTGATAATTGGGGAAGCTATCTTGGTAATGGGTAAGATAGTTTGAGTCTTTGTTAACAGCCAAACAGTCAAACCCCAGGCAAGGTAACTTTCTCTTGGCAAACGAGCTGGCACGCACCTGTCCAGGTGCACTGAATGCCCAGCTGTTTTTCATAGGCTGGCAGAACCAAGGCATGGGATTCTTCTGTGTCCAGATGTGCTAAGCAGCTGCCAGCCAAGCCCCCAAGTGCTGGTCTGTTCCTTATCTCCCCAGTCAGGCTAATCCCCGCCTCTACATGTTATAGTCTCCACTTTGCCTGCCTGGCTTTTAGCCAAGGACCTGTTGCATGTGAGGCAAATGTGACACCCACTGCACTACAGAACCCAGCCTGCGCCTTTTGGGGGCTTTTCTCAGCAGACAGCCCCTCAGCCATTTGCCTTTTGCAGAACAGGCAATCAAAGGGCACCAAGAACATGTTTTCACTCACTAGACAATCAGCGCAAACGCTGCAAGAGCATCTCTAGTTTTCCTGCCTTAGAAGGAGACAAAACCCACCCAGCAAAGCTCACACCCACCCTGCTTTTCCATGGGTGTTGTCTTGCCCCCACCCAGGGACCCATTCAACTCAACAGGGAACCAAACTGCAGGCACATCCAGGGAAAGGTTCTCACCTCATGCTGCAGGGACTGAGAACAGTTGGGCCATTTTAGGCCAGAGCACAAGGCTGTCGGATTCTTCCCTGAGCCCCATGGAAACCCAAGCCAGAGCTGTGGGACACAACCCGCACCTGAGCTGTTGCCCCTGGAATGAGATGGGTGGGTCAGGACAGCTTGGTACAGGCAGGAGAATTAACTCAAGTAGCAGAGCGTTTGCTTTGCATGTGAGAGGCAGTGGGATTGATGCCCATGTTCCCCAGCTGCCCGGGGCACCAACCGCTGGGGGGCGTCTGATGGCAGCTGTAAGGGGCATGCTGCGTCCCTTATAGTTGCCATGAGGCGCCACGTGCCCGGCTCCCACAGCACCGGCCCAGCAGCACCTTCCCCGTGATGGCCGTGGGGCCCTGCATGCATCAGCAGCGGTGACCAGGCTGGGCTGGGCAGCGCATGTGCCGTGTGCCCCAGGGACAGGTCCCAGGCTGTGCACCAGCAGCCAAGGCCGGGCTGCGCATGCACCATGCACGCTAGGGGCGGGCTCACGTACCCTGGGGGTGGGGGCAGGCCCACACATGTGCCTTGTGCCCAGGGGTGGCACCACATGCCCGGGGTGCCAAAATGGCTAAGGCCAGCCCTGCCTGGAATTAGGTGATCCTGGTGTGATGGACTCCCTCCCTTATGCTTTATTAAATGGATTTATGGACATGAATATACATAACTCAAAAGTCCTATGAAATAATTTGCTCAAGTAACCTATCAATCTTCATGTCATGATCTGCTGGTTGTGTTTAGTTTGTATTTTATGTGTAAAATTAGGCACATGGAGCGGGGAATACTTTGTGAGTTTTAAATGTGTAAATGAGAGTCATTGAGGGTGTTACTCTCGCTGTCTTGATGAGCAACTGTTAAAGAATCTCTTTTGTCCTTAAGTCTGAGCAGTGGTTGGTAGGGAGTGGCCTCAATTCTTGAAAAAAAATACAGGATAGCAAGGGCCTTGGTCTTTTGGCTGGGCTGCACCCGAAGGAAGGAGCCAAAGACCCCAGAGTGGGGAGATAGCCCTGGTTTGGAGGGGCAGCTGGAAAAGAGTATTTTGTTTAGGGTGAGTTTGAAAAAGTTTGTTCTGAGCTTTCAGTGTAGAATTAGCTAAGCACTTTTGTTTCTTTTGATTTCTAATCTACTTTGCTCTGCCAGTGCTCACTTACTGCCTCTTAAATCCTACTGCGTGTACTTAATAAAATTGCTTTTATTTACACTGGGTTTTATAGAAAATAATTGTTAGCTGGAGGGCAACCAGTGTATAAATTCTCCCTATTAAGGCTAAAAGGGAGCTTACACAGGTAATTCACTGGGGAGAGGGGATTGATCCTATATAGGAGTGGAGCTGGGCCTAAAACTGCACTCACCTTGGACCTGAAGAGGTTCCATGTCTGTACTGCTTCTCAGAGTGTAGATGGAGCCTAGGGGTGCAGGAGGTGCAGATCCACAAATAACAAACAGTTTGAATCTTGGATTAGCCTGTTACCTGTGCTGTTCACTTTCCCAAAAAGTTTATCTAACACAGTATCTGCACAACCAATTTATGATCACACAATTTATCTCACAAAAAACAGACCACATAAGTGAATCTTGGCCTAGACTAGGGGTGGGAAGGCTCTGGCTGGGAGGTGCTTAAATAGGTGGTGCCCAGCCAGCAACCCAATGGAATCTTCTGCCAGACTCCTTGCCTGCTGCAGCCCCAGAGCTCACACCTACAGCTGTACCCCACCTTCTGCCCAGACCCCTACCCATTGGCTGTGGTGAAGATAGGGCTGGGGGAGGCAAACCCCCAGTCCCACCTCTATCTCTTCCCCTTCTGCTCAGGCCCTTCCTCTTCCCGACCTGCATGTACAGGCCGGGCAGTGCACCACACACTCGTGCTCCCCACTACAGGGAGGAGAGTGGGTGGGCAAATGCTTGATCCAGCCCTGGAGCACTGGGAAAGAAAGGGTGCATGTTGGCATGTCCCCAACTTTCCCAGCCCTGGAGCAGGAGGAGGGCATAGGGCATGGACCCAGGCCCAGAGCATCAGGGGAAAGAGGAGGGCGCACAGTGCAACCCCAGTCCTGGAGCACTGGGGAGGAAGGAGGCTATACAGCTCCAGCCTCTCCAGCTGTTGGAGCATTGGGAGTGGCAGGCACTGGGGGCAGCTGCACACACACTGCTACAACAGGCATTCTGAGGGTGTGGTGTGTGTGGGGCCATGCCTGGTAGTTTGAAGGCAAAGCCTTCCCCCACTTGGCTACTGGATGCTTATGCCCAATGTGATGTAGTTGGAGGGCTGTCTACTCTAGTAGCCCTAGGATCACTCTGGTTGGGCATTCACTGGTCGCTATGCTTGGGCTGTGGATGACTCCTACTGGCCTGTCTGTAAGCACTGCCCAGCGGGGGGTCACCTTGAGGGCCCTCATGTCACAGACAATGGCCCAGCCAGTTCTCATCTGACCAGGAAGGGGCTTGAACAAAGGAAGGGTGTGGCTTGGAGAGGGGGCAGTGTGAGTGTGGGGAAGCATGGAGAAAGCAGACTAACCAGTGTAACCCTTTCCCCCTAGGGAACTAGGGCTGTCAGCCTATCCTCTTATGCCTGCATCAGTCCTATGCTGTGCTGTATCTTGGAGCAGCAATAAACCCTCTCCATTCTATTGGCTGGTGGAGTCATATCTGGCTGTGGACGGGGGTGCAGGGTGGGGAGTTCCCCAATGCGCCATCACACCCCCACTTCAGTCCATTCCTCTAATAGGGGAAGTAGAGGTGGGTTACAACCTGGGAAGCAGTGATCATGAGATGGTAGATTTCAGGATCCTGACCAAAGGAAGAAAAGAGAGTAGTAAAATACACACCTTGGACTTCAAAAAAGCAGATTTTGACTCCCTCAGAGACCTGATGGGCAGAATCCCCTGGGATGTTAACATGAAGGGGAAAGGAGTCCAGGACAGCTGGCAGTATTTTAAAGAAGCCTTATTGAAGGCACAGAAAGAAACCATCCCAACACGTAGCAAGAGAGGCAAACATGGTAGGAGACCGGATTGGCTTACAGGGAAAATCCTTGGTGAACTTAAGCACAAAAAGAAAGTTTACAAAGTCACGGCTTGACAAAGCCCTGGCTGGGTTGATTTAGTTGGGATTGGTCCTGCCTAGAACAGGGGGTTGGACTTGATGACCTTCTGAGGTCTCTTCCAGTTCTATGATTCCTGTGCTATACCGCCCATTCAAACACACATTCCCAGCCCACTTCTGCACACAAATTTCCATCCAACCACTCCTGCACTCTACCTCCCACCCAGACCTCCACCCTCACTCTGCTCCTGTACACAACCACCTGCCCCAGACCCTGCACCCCAATACCTAGCCGACTTACCAGCAGCCCACTTCTGCACATTGAACTCTTCATTTTTGGTCCCACCTCAGATCCTAGGGGGGCCCCTCAAATTCTACTAATTCTGGGACCCCAGAAGAGTTAATCTGGCCTGTGAGAAGCCCTGAATCTCTTTCCTCCCTTCCCTCTCCCGCGTGGGGTTCAAGCATGAGGGGAGTGAAGTATCTTAGTCAGGGTCCACATTGTTGAGGGGTTTTTATTAGGCTTTTTTTCTTCTAACTTTTGCATGGCTGCAGACAGATTTTTCTGTGGGGTCAGTGGCCCCTCTCCCAATAAGGGTTCCCCATCCATGCCATAAAGACAACGTTGAAATCTTTTGTTTTGGATATAAATTAATATTTTACTTCATTTAAAATAGTTTCATAAACTAACATGTGAAAGTTAAAGCACTTAATCTGTTTAAATGATCTGATTAATAATATTTCCTTTCTTACCAGTTATATATACCCTTTATAGCCACATATTTATGTTTTTTACTCTTGTACCCTAATATGAATAATTTAGTATTTAAGATATTTAGAGATAAGCGAAGATATTTTGTCATCATGAGTTCTTGGCTGATGGTCGATGGAGAGGTTTGCATTGGGTAAGGTGGGCTATGAACCAAAAGTTTGAGAACCACTGATTTAGGTTGTATTTGTCTAGATTGTTAATGAGGTGGTCAGGGAAGACTATCAAATGCCTTCCTATAATCTAGATAAACCACATCTACTGCTTCTCCCCTGTCCACAAGACTTGTTACCCTGCCAAAGCAAGATGTCAGGTTGGTTTCACGTTATTGTTCTTGACAAATCCAGTGGGTCAGGGAAGCATCCAGTGAGACGAGAACACCCTTGAACCTTTCGTAAATGATGACAAGGTAGGAATTGAGTCCTCAGGAATTGGTCAGAGGGCTTTTCCCTTGACTCTCCCATTCCCTGATCCTTCTCATGTGAGCAGAGAACAGCAACATCTGAAGTCCAGAGACGCAAATACTTTGATGTTTATTGAGGTTAGCCTCTAGCAAGCATAAATCCAGTTTCTCACCAGTGCTCCCAGAAACCCTGTTATATTACAATAGTCTCTCTCATCTTTGGGTTCTCTAATGTGATAGGACATATGAACACTATACAGGCTATTTCTGTTCACACATCACTCACACTTCTCTCCTGCCAGATGTTCAATGAGGTATCAGCTCCAATTGAATCTTTGCTTACTGTCAGAGCAGTTATAGGGATTCAATCGTGTGTGAAATGTCTGATGTGCAATAGGGTGTAAATGTTCACTCAAGCTTCTCTCACATTCTGGGCCGTTATACATAGTGTACCATCCAATTTTTCCCACGTCAACAAAGAATGAATGTTACAGACACCAAAATAAAGAGAAAGCATTACACATCATACTGCTGCACAGAACAAACATTCATATGGTTGAATTGTAGGAAGGGGGTGTAGAGCTAGGGACAGAATGGGAGAGCAAGGGGTATGAAGGCTCCAACTGGAAGTGTTGGTTTTGTGGTGCTCCAAAGATGAGGAGTTTGAGGTGCAGTCTACTGAAGGGCTATAATGGGGAGAGAAGACTCCCACCAGCTCTCCCCAAGCTCAGGTGCTGTTCTGAAAAAGGGAGAGAAGCACCTCTCCCTGCCATAGTAGCTCGGGGGCCAGGGCCAAGGGATAAACAACTGTCCCCCAGACATTAGGGCTGTGTCTAGACTGGCAAATTTTTCCGTAAAATCATAAGACTTTGCGGAAAAACTTGCCAGCTGTCTACATTGGCCACTTGAATTTCCGGAAAAGCACTGACGATCTCCTGTAAAATCACCAGTGCTTTTCCAGAAATACTATGCTGCTCCTGTTCGGGCAAAAGTCTTTTTCCTGAAAGACTTTTGCACAAAAGGGCCAGTGTAGACAGCATAGTACTGTTTTCCGCAAAAAAGCCCCGATAGTGAAAATGGCTATTGGGGCTTTTTTTGCGGAAAACCGCATCTAGATTGGCCACAGACGCTTTTCCGCAAAAAGTGCTTTTGCGGAAAAGCATCCTGCCAATTTAGACGCAATTTTTCCGAAAATGCTTTTAACGGAAAACTTTTCCGTTAAAAGCATTTTCGGAAAATCATGCCAGTGTAGACGTAGCCGATAGGTCTGGGCCAGGACTGAGACCAGTGGGTAGAGGCATCTCTACCCATCACAGCCCTAAACACTTGCATGGAACTTAGACTGCTACACAGCTTAAAGGGGATTTGGTCATAGTGTTTCTTGTTTCTGGTGAGTCTTCAATATTCAGTGAGGTTTGTGTTCTGACAGAAGGTTTTGCAAATCAGAGCAGCTGAAGGTTTCTTTCTGGTGTGGATTTTCCTGGTGTGGATTTTCCTTTGTGTAACAAGATCTGCACTGACAGCAGGTTTTGCCAGTCAGAGCAGTTATTGGGTGTCTCTCTTACATGTGTTATCTGATGTTTAATAAGGCTTGAGTGCTGACTGAAGCTTTTCCCACAGTCAGAGCAGCTGAAGGGTTTCTCTACCGTATGGGTTCTCTGATGTATAATAAGATTTGCACGCCGACAAAACCTTTTCCCACATTCACAACAGTTGAAGGGTTTCTCTACTGTGTGAGTTCTCTGATGTAAAATAAGATTTGAGCGCCGACTGAAGGTTTTCCCACACTCAGAGCAGTTGAAGGGTTTTTCTCCTGCATGGGTTTTCTGATGCGTAATAAGATTTGATCTCCGACTGAAGCTTTTCCCACATTCAGAGCAGCCAAAAGGTTTCTCCCCTGTGTGGATTCTCGTATGTCTAACAAGGTCTGAGCTCTGACTGAAGCTTTTCCCACAGTCAGAGCAGCTAAAGGGTTTCTCTCCTGTGTGGATTCTCTGATGCTGAATAAGGTGTATGTTCTGACTAAAGCTTTTCCCACAGTCAGAGCAGTAAAAGGGTTTCTCTCTTGTGTGGATTCTCTGATGAATAAGAAGACTTGAGCGATGACTGAAGCTTTTCCCACAGTCAGAGCAGTTGAAGGGCATCTCCCCTGTGTGTGTTCTCTGATGATTAATCAGGGCTGAGTGCCCACAGAAGCTTTTCTCACACACTGAGCAGTTAAAGGGTCTCTCTCCTGTGTGAGTTCTTTGATGACTATTAAGATTTGACCGCCGACTGAAGCTTTTTCCACAGAGAGAGCAGCCAAATGGTTTCTCTCCTGTATGGGTTCTCCTATGTGTAACAAGGTGTGAGCTCACACGAAAGCTTTTCCCACAGTCTGAGCAGTTGAAGGGTTTCTCCCCTGTGTGGGTTCTCATATGTCTAGCAAGGTTTGGACTCTCACTGAAGCTTTTCCCACAGTCTGAGCAGTTGAAGGGTTTCTCCCCTGTGTGGGTTCTCTGGTGTACAATTAGGCCTTCTCTCCGTTGGAAGATTTTCCCACAGTCACGACAAGTGTATGGTGCCTCTTGATAGGGAAATTTCTGATTAACAGTTTCTTTGTTTCTTTCCACTCCTCTGCTCCTGTGACTGGATTTACTCTGTCCTTCATCTGAATGGTTTCCTTGCTGCCTTTCTGGGCTACCTTGACTCTCACAGGTCTCTCCTTGCTCAGAACTTTGGGAAACATGCCCATCACATCTTCCCAATAACATCCCATGTGGAGCCATTTGCTGAAAACTCTCCTCATTGTTCTCACTCAGTGTTCCATCACCTGCAGGAGTCATTCTCTGTGTAGAGCTGAAAGGAAAACTGTGAAAGGAAAACAGAAAAGGGGAAACACACCCAGCTAATGGCTTGAAAAGTAGGATAACTATGCACTGAGTTCATTGTCCTTCCTCATATCCCTTCCACAGAGCAGAGAACCCAACTTTTCCCCCCACCCTCTGCCTGGAGTTGAACACAGGATGAAGTGTCAGTTAGACTTGCTGAAAATGCACAAGTGAGATTTGCTATGAAGACACAGAAATTGGTTTCTGAGTCAGTTTAGCTGATTGTTCACCTGTGTGGATATCATGGATGATCTCCCCTTCCTTAGAGCCCTGGAGATCTGGGATCTGCAGCTCCTCCCCTTGCTCTACCCAAGAGATCACATGAGCTTTGGAGACTGGAAATCCTGCTCAAGAAGCAATTAAGCCACTGTCAGTCTTGTTCTTTAAGGTCCATGCCATTACTGCTTCCAGAGCCAGGATCTGATTCACTCACCCAAAGAGGAGAATCCTTCCCTACCTTGCAGGGACTAGGCTCTGGATGGTACAAGATCCCAGGACATACTCACCTGCAGCAAAGGTGCATCCCCCCCCCCCTTATTCTGGAATGACCCAGCATATTCTCTGGTGGAGCTGAGTGCTCTGCTGCACTCTCTAGGGAACAACTATGTCTCCCTCACTACCTGTTCCATCCCCTCATCCCAGGGCAAGATAGAATACACTGCTGAGAAAGTGAGCTCTAGTGAGCACTTGCAGGTCTGATACCAAGGTCCACAGGAATGGCTCAGATTGCAGCTGCCACATAACAGGTCACTAGAAGTTGGAGACAAAGGACCCAGCAAAGCTCAAGCTCCCCAAGGATTGTGTCCACAAAGTTCCTGGCTGGCAGGCTCAGCCTCCCCAGCTCTTTGGCCCAAATGCACTTTTTCAGGGGTGGCCAACCCATTCTGGGCAAAGAGCCAAGATATCAGTGGCTCCAGCATGAAGAGCTAGGACAAACTTGTCGAACCAAACCAAACCAAACAAACAAAAGACTGCCCCTTTAAAAGAAGCCCCCGATCGTGTTTGGTCCTGCCGGCCAATGCCATCTTTTATCCTCCATCTTTAATGGCCGCACCAGACAGCTCCCCTGTCCCGGTGAGCACAGGGAGCTGGGGAGGAGAAGGCCATTTTCAGGGGCATGGGGGCGGCTTTATGAGCCACGAGGGGGGGCTTCACAAGCCGCACCTGGGAGGGGGGAGGGGAGAGCAGCATGCAGCTCACAAGCCGTGGGTTGGCCGTGGCTGGACTAGGGGGACCCAAACTATTAGATTTTGTGTGCTCCAGGCCCAAGGGTAATGGGATGAGGGGGCATCTCGAGTGCCAGTGCAGGCTCCCCAATGCTGGGGGCATTGAGCCTCAGGGACCAGATGTAGGCAACCTGGAGGCCACACATCCCTAAGCTAGAGGAATTCCTGGTAGCTATATCACACCCAGAATATGCTTCAGACTCCTTCCAGCCCCCTCCACCTGCTTCATGACTCTGTCTCTTTTCTGCTGAGACGCAATCCCGTTCCAGACACATTCCATTTCCCTGGCACAACCAAATTCTGACCTCGCTTTAAGTTAGTTAAAAGGAAGCTGCATATCAAACTAGGTGTTCCTAGCTCTAGCCTACTTTAAGAGGAGTTCTTGGACATACAGACAGCACACAGACAGACAAACTCTTTCACATATACAGCAGATGAAAGATCTCTGGGTATGTCTACACTACCCCCCTAGTTCGAACTGGGGGGGTAGTGTAAACATACCCTCTGTGTATCATCTATTGTAACTATATGTATCCTGTGTCTCATAATTCACTTTGCTGTATTTAGGTTGTTAATGTTCTTTAGTCAAAGACAACCCTCTGGAAATATCAGGGCAATCCCCATAGAATGAGCCATCACCTATTACTCATGTGTGCCAGTGACGCTGATAATCAATTTATAGTTATACACTGGCAACTATTGGAGAACGTTGCGTCCAAATGTTTGAGTTAACATAACTGACTTGCCCAAAGTCACACTGGAAGGCTGTGTCAGGGCAGGGTATTGAACACACGTATCCCTAGTGTAGTGCTTGAAATACAAGAAGAGCTCTCCTCACATATATCTACTATGCAGCTACCCTGCACAGAACACTCAAAAAGCGTGAACTGCCTCATCCCTTTCCCTCAGCCCAGAATCATAGAATCACAGAGCTGGAAGAGATCTCAGTAGGTCATCAAGTATAACCTCTTGCCCAAGGCAGGAACAATCCTAACTAATTCAACCCAGCCAGGGCTTTGTCAAGCCAAGACTTAAAAACCTCTAGGGATGGAGATTCTACCACCTCCCTAGGTAACGCATTCCAGTACTTTGCCACCCTCCTACTGAAATAGCCTTTCCTAATGTTCAACCTAGACCTCTCCCACTGTAACTTGAGACCATTGCTGCTTATTCTGCCATCCGTCACTACTGTGAACAGCCTCTCTCCATCCTCTTTGGAACCTCCCTTCAGGAAATGGAAGGCTGCTAACAAATCCCCCCTCACTCTTCTCTTCTGCAGACTAAACAAATCCAAATCCTTCAGTCTCTCCTCATAGGTCATACACTCCAGCCTCCTAATCATTTTGGTCACCCTCCACTGGACCCTCTCCAATGCGCCCACATCCTTTCTATAGTGGGGCAGGGGGAGCCCGTTATAAGAACTGGACACAATGTTTCAGGTGTGGCCTCACCAGAGCCAAATAAAGGGGAATAATCACTTCTCTAGATCTACTGGCAATGCTCCTCCTAATGCATTCTAATATGCCATTAGCCTTTTTGGCTACAAGGGCACACTGTTGACTCATCGATCATAATCCACAGGTCCTTTGCCGCAAAACTGCTACTTAGCGATTCGGTCCCCAGCCTGTAACCATGCTTTGAATTCTTTAATCCCAAGTGCACTTGTCTTTGTTGAACCTCCTCAGATTTCTTTTGGCCCAATCCTCTAATCTGTCTAGGTCATTCTGGACCCTCTCCTTGCCCTCCAGCATATCTACCTCTCCCCCTAGCTTAACGTGATCCACAAATTTGCTGACAATGCAGTCCATCTCCTCATCCAAGTCATTAATAAAAATGTTGAGCAAAACTGGTCCTAGAACAGATCCCTGGGTACGCCGGTAGAAACCAACTGCCAACCTGACATCGAGCTGTTGATCACTACCTGTTGGGCCCGACATTATAGCCAGCTTTCTATCCATCTTACAGTCCATTTAACCAATCCGCACTCCCTTAACTTGCTGGGAAGAATATTGTGGGAGACCATATAAAAAACTTGGCTAGTCAAGGTATATCACATCCACTGACTTTCCCATATCCACAGAGCCAGTTACCTCATCATAGAAGCTAATCAGATTGGTCAGGCACAACTTGCCCCTGGAGAATCCATGACCACTATTCCTGATCACTTTCCCCTCTTCCAAGTGCCTCAAAATGGATTCTTTGAGGATTCCCTCCATGATTTTTCTGGGGACTGAGATAAGGATGACTGGTCTGTAGTTCCCTTGACTGTCCTTCTTCCCTTTTTTGAAGATGGGCACTACATTTGCCTTTTCCCAATCACCTGAGATCTCTCCCAATCTTCACGAGTTTTCAAAGATAATGGCCAAAGGCTTCACAATGACATTTGCCAACTCCCTCAGTACCCTTGGATGCATTAAATCCGGACCCATGGATTTGTGTATGTCTAGCTTTTTAAAATAGTGCCTAACTTGTTCTTTCCCCACCGAGGGCTGTCCACCTTCTTCCTCTACTGCATTGTCTACTGTATTAGTCTGGGAGCTAACTTTGTCTGTGGAGACAAAAGCAAAGAAAGCATTGAGTACTTCAGCTTTTCCCACATCACCTGTCTCTAGGTTACCTCTCTCATCCAGTAAGGGCCCCACGCTCTCTCTGATCACCCTCTTATTGCTAACATACCTGTAAAAACCTTTCTTGTTACCATTCACATCCCTTGCTAGCTACAATTCTAACTGCGCTTTTGCCTTCCTGATAACTCCCCTGCATTCTCAAGCAATATATTTATACTCTTCCCTAGTCATCTGTCCAATTTTCCACTTATTGTAAGCTTCCTTTTGTGTTTAAGTTTACCAAGGATTTCCCCTGTAAGCCAATCTGGTCGCCTATCATATTTGATTTTCTTGCTGCACATTGGGATGGTTTCTTCCTGTGCCTTCAATAAGGCTTCTTTAAAATACTGTCAGCTCTCCTGGACTCCTTTCCCCTTCATGTAAGCAACCCAGGGAATCCTGCCCAACAGTTCTCTGAGGGAGTCAAAGTCTGTTTTTCTGAAGTTCAGGGTGTGTATTTTGCTGCTCTCCTGTCTTCCTTTGGTCAGGATCCTGAAATCTAACACCTCATGATCATTGCTTCCAAGGTTGTAACCCTCCTCTACTTCCCATACTAGTTCCTCCCTGCTTGTGAGCAGCACGTTAAGCTGTGCATGGCCCCTGCGTGCACTTCAGCACTTGTACGAAGAAGTTTTCCCCAACATTCTCCAAAAGCTTCTTGGATTGGCTGTGTACTGCTGTATTGGTCTCCCAACAGATGTCAGGATGATTAAAGTCCCCCATGAAAACCAGGGCCTATGATCTGGAAGCTTCTCTTAGCTGTCTGAAGAAAGCCTCGTTTACCTCACACATCTGATCCGCCGGTCTACAGCAGACACCAACCACAACATCACCCGTTGCTTCCACCTCTAAACTTAACCTATAAACTCTCAATAGGCTTTTCTCCCTCTATAAACTGGAGCTCTGAGCTCTTACATACAATACAACTCCTCCTCTTTGTCTCCCCTGCCTTTGTTCTTCCTGAACAGTTTATACCCTTCCAGCACCCAACCCCTCTCACTGGCAGAGATCAGCATCAGTCACAGGCAGGAAAGGACTCTGAGAACCACACCCTCCTTCCAGGGATTCAGCACAATGGCATAAAGGCTACTCTGCAGGCACTAACAGCAGCTGCACCCAGCCCTAGATCTCTGGTGACTGCTGTTCCTGTCAGGGCCCTTTCACTGACACCTCTGGCCAGGGAACAACATGGGCAAGATGGACATTGAGAGCCTGGCTGTGGGAAGAGCAGCACCATTATGTCCCTGGACCTGCATCCCCTGGGAGGGGGCATGCTCACACAGAAGCAGGGATTATTGGGACTGATACACCTGACATTGGGAGTGCAGGGGGCAATGAGGGACCCTGAACCAAACCCAACCCAACTGCTCCAGCGCCCACCCAGTTTCTGATAACCATGGAGACAGGAATCCTTACCTAGCCAGCTCACAGCTTCATAATTCTCCTGCATCACATCCCAGTAGAGGGCTCTCTGACCCGGGTCCAGCAGAGCCCATTCCTCCTCAGAGAAATATACAGCTACCTCTGAGAATGTCACTGGCTCTGCCACAGCCATTTCCTTTCCCTGGCTTTGCAGGCCGTGGGCCAAGCTGGAGTAAGACATGGGTGTTCTGCAGCCTGTTGGGATAAGAGGGGGAATTGGAGAGATTTCAGAAGGGGCTTTAATTCTTTCCACGCCCCCATTCTCCCCAGACACTTTTCCTGTGCACACACATGCTAAACACTGCCATTTTGGGCAAATGCTTGAATCCAGATCAGCAGTTCCCAACTTTTTCCAGATGGGGACTCATTTTGACAATTCAGGAAGACTAGGTGACCCAAGGCCATTCAAAAACGGGGAGGGGGAGAGGCAGAGCCACCTGGGGAGACACTTGGTGACCCTTTTGAAATGTAATGGTGACCCATATTTGGGTCCTGACCTATGGGAAACTCTCATCTAGATATTCCATGAACAATACATACAAGTTAGATCCCAAATCCATACTAATTTCTCTCAATACCTGGCTTGAGTAACAAAAGTACTGCGCCTGCAATCGTAGGACTCTGCTCTGAGTGCACAACATTTCTGATAAACCAAGCGCATGTTCACCTGCCTGAATATGGACGTAAGGTGTCTAAAATGAAGCTCCTGTATTTCAAGCCCGGAACTTCCTCAATGTATTTGTAGCACAGACCAAGGCCCTCTCATCAGGATGAAGCAACAGAGCAGAGATCAGCTGAAGTCAAGGGAACCATTCGGATAGTTTGACACACTCCTGCCTGACGTTTGCAGGCTGAGCTCCTGGCTAGTGCGGAGGGGGGGGGTAAGACACACACCTGTATGACAAGTGCGGAAATGAGTCTGTGAAGCCCGACATTGCACCACTGATGGGCACTCGGACTTGTGCGACTTGTCAGGAATTAGTGCACGGGGGGGGGGGGGGGCCCGAGGGGCG